CAACCAATCAAACAATCAGTGAATCAATCAATCATCAATTAATCAATCAATCAACAAATCAATTAATCAGTCAGTCAGTCAAGCAATCAATCAGTCAATCAATCAATCAACAAATCAATCAATCAACCAATCAATTCCTCAATCAATTAATCATTGAATCAATCGATCAATCAATCAATCAATCAGGCAATCATGTAATCAATCAATTACTCAATTAATTAATCATTGAATTGATAAATCAATATCAGAGTTACTTACCAAGAGGAATGACAAGAAATTGTATGTATGACTGCCAATCTGGTGGTTTACTTGACATCTGTTCAACATATGGAGTCAGAACTGCACTGACATAAGATTCACTACCAGTTATTGCAATCCTTAGACTTGGAGGGGAGCCAGAATTATTATTACAGCTGAAATAAAAAATAACACCATTTATATCAACACTCCATTATTATGCAGTGGTACAATAAGATTAATAATAGAGTAGAAATCCAATGACGTAATTGTTAATCAAGACTTCATTAATTCTCACTGTCAAATCTGAGAATTCACGCCGTGACAAATCTGTGTACTTACAATTTTTGATATTTGCTGACAATAGCGGTCATTACAGCCTCAATATCAGCGTTGCTTTGGGTACAAATCATACTGATATCTTGATCCCATAGCTTAAGAGCCAGCATCTAAAACAAATGATCCACACATTCAACATTCTGATCTCTTAATACAGGAAAAACCTAGATCCATAAAATGGAGATTATGACTTGGAATATGCTTTCAAAGTAGGCTCACACTGTAATCCAGACAGAAATAACTGGAATTTAATATACATGTACTACGGCTTTACAGTCCATGTACTACGGCTTAGAGGCTTTACAGTCCATGTACTACGGCTTAGAGGCTTTACAGTCCATGTACTATGGCTTAGAGGCTTTACAGTCCATGTACAATCTCAAAGAAAACTAGGATGACTTTGTGAAATAATAAAATTGTCACGCATACCTGTCCTTGCCATTCAGCAGTATTCACTAGCAGAATATTTTCAGGGATTTGATCATTTGCAGGAAGAACTGACATTAGCTGGTCTGACACTGATCGTTTTGGAAACTAAATGATGGAGAATTGGCATTATTTTTAAGAAAAGCRAAACCTATATACACTYATGTAAAGAAGCATTACTGACTTAACTGTGTTGATTTTATTAGCAAAACAACACAGAGAAGTGGCAAGTCATTCTGGATGGATTGGGATTTGAGCAAGGTGTATATAAGTTATGTGTAACGAGTGGATCGAATGTGTATCAAATTGACTTGTTTGGTACTATATAGGGTGGATCGAATGTGTATCGAATTGACTTGTTATGTATATAGGGTGGGTCKAATGTGTATCGAATTGACTTGTTTTGTGTATAGGGTGGATCGAATATGTATCAAATTGACTTATTATGTATATAGGGTGGATCGAATGTGTATCAAATTGACTTGTTATATGTATCGAGTGGATCGAATGTGTATCAAATTGACTTGTTATATGTATCGAGTGGATCGAATGTGTATCAAATTGACTTGTTATGTGTATAGAGTGGATCGAAAGTGTATCGAATTGACTTGTTATGTATATAGGGTGTAGAAAATTAACTCTATTTCAAACCTTTATTTCTACATCACTATTTCTTCTGTTTTCTTCCACTAGTACTGGCTCAACTTTATTTCGTCTTTCCTTAAATGACACACTTCGTYTGACTGATACGTCATGGTCATTTGTTGTTGGATCTGATGTGCTTGTGTTATCTGAATAYGTCTCTAGTTCTGATGGAGGACTAAGTGTGTCCTAAGAACAAAAATAACACAATTAAGACTGAATTTTACTGATATCAACGGCAATGTTGACCMTAGTGATGATTAATGATGCTTCCAATGACTGTTGTCATGCAAACCATGGTTATAATGATAATAATGACTGGTTTACCAAGTTGCACTCTGGTTCTGTGGAAGTATTTCTTTCATCATTATCAGATACTGATGCATTCTGCACAGTTTGTTCATCTTCTTCATTAATCTACAATTAAATATAAATGTTTTAACTAAAAAATGATGAATAAATCTGGTATGACATTAATGCAAGACTTGGTAGAGCTCAATATTAATTTTCACATGAATTACCAACCTTTGCTTGTAGGGAAACWTGTTCTAATGAACTCTTCATGTCAAAGAATGGCCTTAAAATAGTAATGAAAYAGTTAAATAATGGAACATCTGAATATTTACATGTTCAAGACTCATGTCAAATTACCTTAGTGATGGTTTTGGTGTTGACGATATGGATATATTGTCCTGATCAAAGATGTCGTTATCATAGTCACTATCATCCTCTAAGTCATCAACATCAAATAAGTAATCTTCTGCTATCATCTCATTTTCAGGGGGGCTGATATCAATGTTCAAATATTGTTCTGGGGACTCCCCTAAGTCTTCATCTGCCATTTTGAATTTCTTCAGAAGAGCGATGAACTTTTGTTTAAAGTTACTTTGGTGCTGAAAGTACAAAAAATAATCCAGCATTAGAATATGCTTGGAACATCAAGACAGCTTTTACTTTGTTATAGTTATACCTTTGATCGCATTCCCATTTTWCCATGTCTTAATTTCCTTGCTTGTGGTTGGTTATCATCATCAATAATATCCTAACAATAAAAACAATTATATTCTTATCATCTCAAAATGTAAGTCTCTAATCAGACTTATAGTAAGAGTAAATGGTGATATCTTTTAGCATTATTCAGTGGAATATTTTCTCTGCTATTTAAAGTGAATACTAGTGTATAATACAATAACATATAATTAATGGATATATTAAGTAAAATGAGTGAAATACTGACCCCATCACCACCACTGTCACTTGCTTCCTGGTCAGACAATGAATAATCTTCATCATCATCATCACTTGATTCTCCTTCTCTATCATCTGTCAATATGAAAACCATTGTAAAGAGAAATTAGGCATAGCTCCAATCAGTAGTTTTGGGCATAACTTCTATCCATTCAATCAAAAGTAATTATCTCTCTCTTTGGCTGATCAATTAATCTCACTTACAAGGTCCATTTGTCCGGTGAGCCATGGCTTGCATTCTGTCTTGGTCAGTATCGACAGGTTGACTATAGCACAAAAAACCTTCTGTTCAAGTTATACATATTTATCAACATCTTGCATTTAACATGCTCTGATTATCAAAGATGCCAGATTGCACAAACATTCAACCTCCAATTAATTTGTTTGTTAAASAGTGATGTAAAAAAACCTTGGAAATAGTATTACACCTGCTCCAATKACATTGTTTCCTTTTGTATAACTATCACATTTAACAGTCAAAATAGACTTTTGAATCTATAACACTAATATCTAAAACACTATGAATCTATAAAACTAATTTATTTGCTGTCCAACTGACAATACAGTTAGGGTAAACTTKAATGACTATCAACCTGTCATTCGTCCTCTTAAGGCAGGTGAAACATGAACCCATTACCATTACATAAAAACAGGTCTTGAAAATGGATGATATTTTCTTACAAGTTAACATGTACATGATACTTATTTGAGATGAATGTCTTTCTAATATTGTAAATACCTTGTCAAAGAACTAACAGTAAATAGTGCGACTGGTGAAGAGCTGCCTTTTGAATATAATTTGAGTTGACTGTCCATATTGAATTGCAAAACCTACAAAAAAACATCAATATTATTGTCTTTACACAGTTTAGATAGGAATCAATCTTGTCTATATTAGCACTTGTATTTTTGTAAAGGATATTGATTTGGGATTATAAGCCTAAGCTGTATTATAAATAAATGTGCATCTTGCAACAATTTATTGTCTTTCTACACATTGTCATTGTTATTGTACACATTGTAATGTTATTGTACATATTGCAAYCATTTGTTATTCTACACATTGTAATAAACAGGATAGTATTGCTGAAAATATGTACTTGATCTTCATGATTTACAACTGAGATTCCAAAAAAATAAGATGACTGTCTGTAATACTAGTCCCTAATACATTAGTAAGAGAAAACTGATGGATGCTGCTAAGAGCTGCTAGGAAGTACACAAGACAAATCCAGTGTAATCAATCCTTAGTCTTTAAGCATCAGTGAATTAATTTTTAGTATGTGATGGTATGTAGTCATGCTATGTGAYGTTATAACACATTATGATCTGCATCAATGCCCTTATAGAGCTTACAGTTACATAAGTTTTATAAATATTTCCTTATAAGAGTTCACCATGACCCTAAAGCCTTTTTTAATTATTTACAAGTATGACTCATTTAGCCAAAAAGGAAACTAAATAAAGGAATGAGATAGGAGGTCATCAGACGTGGTCAATGTTTGTCTGTTTATTTCCTTTATCATTCTAATCAGTCAAGCAATACCTGTGCCATATTGACTACTCCAACTGCCAGAGTTTTGAATCCAAGGATTGTTCTATTTTTATACTTTTTTCTTCTTTGTAGCATGATTTGTAGGTTATTGCAACTTCTTTTGAGAAAGTGTGGATACTGCAAACAAAAATGAATTAATTTCAGCTACACACATTATGTTCTATCACATATTTCATCATCATCATCATAACATTGTCACTGGTCGGAAAAAACGTTAAATAGATAACTACTGTATAATAACAATAAGTACTAGAAAAAACTATTACTATTGATTAATTATGATGATGACTTTATTATTACTATTCGTAACAATAATAATTATGATACCTGCAATGAGAAAGAAAGATCTAATACAGTGTCAATCAATCCTGACTGTCCAAGAATGATGCCGTTAGATCTGAGTGTTCTTCTAGAAGCCTGTTTGAAAATAAAACAATTAGTGTTTCATACAACATGATATCTTTCCAATTAAGACAATAGCCTACCTGCATTGAAACAGATATAACAACTTCTGTAAGATTTGGCTCCAGGCATTTAATTACCTCCAACCGAGTTAGTTTTAGATTACAAATTCTACACAAGAAAAGTGATCTGATTAGAATTATAACCATAAAAATAACTCCTGTGGCACCATAAATAAAACACACTCTGTCGTAAAGATTAGATATTTGGATTCATGAGGATTATTTTTGAAGACAGGGTTAGCATTAAAGGAAAACAATATTAATCCCACATATATTTGTACTTCCCTCTATTAAAGCATTGAATCCTACTTTGTACAATTAACATAGAACATAATTGTACTTCCATGCTGAGGTTTATTGATCAGTACAAGAATGCTACGGTTATTTGAWATAGTCAACATTTTTAAATTCTAAGGTCACTTTGCTGCATTTCAAAAACATCCCACTAATTTGCATTCAATGAATATTATTTTGAAATGTAATGTCATATATGTTATTACATCAATTATTGACCAAGCTAACATGATCCCCTTAATACCTATTTATCAAGCAATTTGAAGTTCAAAAAAGTGAGACTGTCGAAACAGATCCACTAGCTACATAAACAAGGACAGAAAAGCCAGTGACAAGTGCAACCAAATGCTAATTTGAGAAGAATGGAAAATTCTATATTGTATCCAATGTTGAGCAATGTACTCAAACCATAGACATATATACAATTAATGTGCATAAAATAACAATTAAAACAATGTTTTGGATGATACAGTATTCCAAACATGTACATGACACTAAAATATGAAGTAAGGCATTAGAGCGTTATGAAAAGCCTTTCATATAAAATGTAACATCAACACTCTGAAACCTGACAGAAATAAAATGGCTTTCATAATTGAATTATCTATTGGATGATCTCTGCATGCATATTTACTGAAGGCAAAAATAATACACTCAAATATTCCAGGTTTTGAAGATCTCTCTAAAGAACTCTCATTTAGACACCATTGTTGAAATCAGCCAAGAAGGCCAATGTTTAGGCGATCGCTATATTCATAATGATGACAAGTTTACGACAAAAATCGTAAATAAAGTATATATACAAACTGTAGGTAGTCTCCACCATTCCCACCATATCTCACTTTCATAAATGTTAAACTTCTACAGCGTTAATTATTGTTCTTAATATGTACTATAAATCATAAAAAACGTCTGAATTAGAGCTAGAGATTTTGATTATGTACATTGCAAAGCCGAATCATTGGAACTGCTTAATTTTTGACAATACCCCAGTCAAGGCTAAAAGATAACAACGCAGCAAGGTGCGCTAGTCGAATAATTCAATCAAATTCCCCACTTTGTACACATATTTACAGTAATAGCTTGATCTACTGACTACTTGATTCTGGAAGCTAGAAAAACTTACAAGTCAATTCATTTAAAATTAAATACAAATACCAAGTACACGATCTTTTCGCTTTTGGCGCCTTGCGTCTTTACAAAGAAACAAWTTTTTATAATACGAATCCCTGACATAAACATAGACCGCAGTGAAACTAATGATTTCAAGAAGAACTTACTAAAAACCGAATAGTTCAAGTAGAAAGTAATAATCATTAGATACAAGAAATAAGATAGGACATTTTTTCTCAGGATCTTGACTGCCGCTTTCGCTAAATATCGACAAAATATTAATCGCATCAATGATTTCTTACCTTGGAATACAGTTTGGAGAAGATCGTTCAACTTCCCATGTTGCGAAGAATTTCATACGAACTGGCCTTTCAGGGTTAAGAGAGACCGAGATTTCACGGCCATCCACTTTGCTCTTACCCTGATCCGCCATGTTTGATTTCAGATTGTTTTGCGGTATTGCGCATGCGTAAGAGAGAACACTTCCGGCTGCTGATTAGTGATGTTTGTATTTAGAGCTGTAACTCGCACGTACATAACGACCTTATCGAACCTAAATATTTGCATTTTAGAGACGCATTTGTCTAGTATACGCAAAGATGAAATTTTGTGTCCGAAGCGTCAGAGAAATCTCCACTTTGACTTTAATATATATGAACCAGAAGCCATGTGTGCATTTTCATCAACGACTAATAAGGGAGAGTGATGGTATYGAAAGGGAAGCGAAGGAAAAATCTAATTCAGTAAGAAGAAAGTACCGTTTTCACTCAAAAACAAACGAGGACGCGGACCCCTTTGATGCCACATAAGACAACAACGAAAAATAGGTTCGTTTATTTCAAGCGCATTAATTTAAAAGTAAAATTTGTCCTTCATTATTTATCAAACGGAACTGGATACAAAAGACGCCGCAAGTGCRGGACTTAGCAAGTAAAAGAAAACTATCAATTTACACCATTCAGTTGGCTATTTTTACTTTTGTTAGTTTTCAGCGAGGGAAAAAACAAGAAAAATGACGATCTCTTTCGCTCTGCCTTCTTTCATCGAATAAATATTATGATTTTAATTACTAATCACACTAAAAAGTCCAATTCCAATACGATTTTTAATAAAAATTCGACATCAGCCTTTTATGAGGWCATATGTGATGGACGTTCCAATAAGAAAATCCACTATTGGCTTAAAATTGATTGAGTATGTTTATATTGGATTCCATTGAAGAGAAAAGGTCATATATGAGGACAATTGTTTTTTTTTTTTGTTTTTTTTTTTGTTTTTGTTTGCTTGACAATATTGACTGTTATTTGACTAAAAAGCAACAGCTGACACTGGATATTAAAGTTCATAGCCAGCAAGTTATTTCAAACAAGAAGCGCCATGTATAATGCCCTAAGCAAAAAGGCAGGATACTCTGATTGACTGATTTATTGTGAAACATTTAAGTTTATTTTACATGATGTACGATTTCAGGCTGTGAGTGCTCAAGATCATCGTATAATCGATTATTGAAAACTGACCACAGCTCGCGCCTAAACTATTACATATTTCAATTTGATCAATTCTCGACAGCAAAGGAATAGTAATCAGGCTATGTCATTCAATCTGTGGGAAACTGGAGAAATATTTTTTTGCAGCGAAGTTATCCACCCACGTTTAAGATAATTGGCTCAAACGGAAACCCCATATGGTTTATGCCTCCTTTTAGTCTGTAAAGTCAGTTTTCGCGTATGTGTGAAGACGTAYCATGCAAACWGTGTGATTTTTYCATGATAAATTTTAGACTGTTGTCCGGGCCAGTCCGCATTGGTCGAACATGCAGTGATTTCGTTGACAGCCTCGGAAAGACTTTTTGAAAGCAACAAGAGGAAGAAGAGAGATTAAGTCACAAACAGGTGCATGTACGTGGAGTGTTTTTTTGGCATGTTATTTACTATAATAACATGTTATTTACTATAATAATATGTTATTTACTATAATAACATGTTATTTACTATAATAACATGTTATACTATAATAATATGTTATTTACTATAATAAAGCCATATTTTAGTGTCAAAACAAGCTACATTTATAATCATCATAATATAGCATGCTGTTTTGTTCAAAATTTTGAATTGTTTTTGTGGTTTAGTGGTATGTGAATAGTAAAGCTACAAAGTTTGTCTCTCAAACACTGATTATTAAGTAGGGTTTTGCTATTATAATAATAATACATAATAATATAATAATTTAGTATTTTATTCTACAATGGAACTTATTAAATTATTATTAGTATTATTATTATAATATAAGCACTGATCATTCATTCTCACTAAGCCAACAGTTTCAATCTTGCGATTGGGAAAGGAGATTTTGAGGGTTGATGATCTTCTTCACTTGATACCTCTTCTGAAACGTATGCTCCAGATTCTAGTAAAGGAGCTTCATTCTAAAATGATTCCGGTCCATGGGGTATTAAGTGAGTTGATGGCTCGACAGTCACCAAGACAACACATGCCCATCACGTGACTATGGCTTCAGAATGGTGACCGCTGACCGCAATGAATGCACGACCATCGATATTTGTTTTTTTACTAGTTCCCAGTCCTTTGTTTGGTTACTTTTGTTGGCAAGAAAGATTGCGTCGTTTATTCCTGCAAATTTACTTCCGGCATAAAGATTAAAGATGCTTGGTGCAAAGATCAGGTGCCTAAGGATAAACCATAATACTCTACTCAGGTGCGCGTGATTATCTCGTGATATATTGAAGAAAATTTACCTCATCGATGGTCTGTCTGGAAGTCCTTCGTCGTTTATGAACGCTCTTTCTATTTGGACTAGTTTGTCGTTTGCAATTCTGACTTGAAGAGGGCTGCAATACAAATAAMAGAAAGACTTAGTTATAATATCAATGAATAAAAGCAAAATTTCAGAACATGGAAAGCGAGATACATCCAGAGAGTTGCAATAGGTATATAGCGCGCATCAACCTCGAATAGCTTTCCACGCAAGCCATGCATGTACTTTAACTCTATTGTGTGGCGATATCTGCCGTGTATATAGGATCTTGAATGACCATCGCCCCCACMCCTTCCCTGAGGGAAATTGGCTGGTTACAATGTCTTTGCATGAACTCATACTAACTTGCTCAGGTCCATTTTCTCCAAGGAATTCATAAACTCTGCAGATTCATTTTTCAAATCTTTGATAGCTTTTGTTACGTAATCTGAAAAAAAGTTCAATCCATAAGCTAGTGCTTAAATTCCCACTGGCACTTGTGACCGGGAGGGATTAGCAATAGGATACATCAATACCGCACGAGAGGGGAGGTATTAGCCGTTTTGTATGCTTACCCAGAGAGATACCATGTTCGGATAGTAATTTGTTATGATTTTTATTTAAGTCTTTCGCATAAATCTGAAGTGAAGACGCGAGTCGATTCAAGTCAAATGGAAGTATCTTTGAGCCTGCGATATCAAAGATCAGCTGCAGTACTACTTTGGTGATAGTGCTATGGTAACGAAATTCTGGATCGACAAATTTCTTGACCCAATGGAATGTATCATGAACGCTGTGATACACAGGATAGGTACCCTATACCAAATAAAATCATTTTAGTATTCAATACAGAAGCAGCATACAGCAAATATCATATTTTTTACCGATTTTCGTTTGTAAGACAAATCAAGGCAAGGGACACCAAGTCGCTGCAAGAAGAACAAGAAGTCACTTCCAGCACCAATAGGGATTACTCTGAAACAAAACATGAACCAACGATAAGTTCACATTGTCAAATACCTTTATGTATCTATAACTTAAGCATGGTGTGTTTCCTATCGACTCAGGCGCATTGAATTACTAGAAAACCTCTACAACGCATGCGTAAAGTTGTCTGCACTTATCCCCGATCTGTCCAATGATATCTAAATACAGTTTCAGGACATAATACTCTTACATTGGAAACTTTTTATCGTCGTCCGCAGGACGTTTTGTCAACCATGCGTCGTACACAGTTTCAGTTGTACTTTTGGCACTCGGGACCTAAGTAAAATAATGGTACGTTATGTAGATAAGTAGTGCGTATTATGGAAAATCCGTTGAAAATGCAGCTACTTTTAGCTTTTGAATCACATTGGCTCGCATCAGTTTTAAAAACAATTTAAGAAGAAGGTGACTTAAACGGCAATGGTAATGGCTACTGAACTTAATATTTTGAATACAGGAGCGTATCCAGGGGGGTCACAGGGTGCACGTGACCCCSCTTTCAAAGCCAAAAAAGCGTGAAWWCCATAGATTGATATGACATCATATTGACGTCGTATGACGTCACAGTGACAATTTGGTATGWAAGGACCCCCCCAGAAAATCCTGGATACGCCCATGTAATACTGACCTTTTTTGTAGCTTYAAAGAGTGCCGTATCCAAAATAGGACTGCTCTTAGCAAAGAATGAATATGAACCTACGATACAATACAATAACCYGAGGTAGAAAACATTCATAACTTTAATGGATTGTGTTCAAGTCATGACATTACCTGATACTGCACTATCAACGTTAATGTAAACCACAGCTCGGTTACTCAATGTTTTCTCAAATTCCTTGAAGTAAAATGAATTTAGAATGGACATTTAGACAACATAAGATCACGTGACTGCCTTTGTACCTCAACCCATTCTGCCGATCCCATGATGCCGTGTTCCTCTGCACCCCAACTAGCAAACATGATTGTTCGACTTGGTCTCCAACCTGTATTGATTGATTAATTGATTAATGACTGACTAACTGACTGACAGCTGACTGACTGATTGGTTGATATATTTGAGTTATATACCTTTCTTACGAAGTTCCCCAAGTGTCCTAGCGGTCTCCATCATAACAGACGTTCCACTCGAAGGGTCAACAGCACCAAATACCCAGGCATCACGATGAGCACCCAAAATGATGTAACGATCTAAAGATAGAATATCTGGTTTAGCTATCGTTTGATTGCTTTGAATTATTTATTGTCATTTACCTGGTTCGTTTGATCCTGTAATAGTTCCTATGACGTCATACACTGGCTTCTGTTCCATTGTATTCGATACTTCAACTCTGACTTCTCTAGTTTCCACATAAACAATAAATGAAATGGAAGAGAATGATTGATCATGTTATAGTATGACGGATAAATTAATAAAATAAAAATGTAGTCGCTGGGATTCTATCGACTCTAGTGGGAATCGAACCAAGACTACAGMGTCGATTACCCTTAATGTGACTATTTTTATGCAGCGGTTCAAAGTAATAAATACCTTTGATCTKCTGCATCCATTTCTATGTTGTACGAAATTTTAAGGTCGCCTTTCCATCTTTCAGGGGCTGGTCTTTTAGTGAGGGTTCTGAATATTAAAAATTTATTAAAGCCTTTATATCAATTCTTTCCATGCATTTCTATCTTTCCTTCGTTAAACTGGTATAGCTTGGTTTACAAATTCGTGCTCTTTTTAATTCATATATATTTCAATTAGGTATTTGGTTGTCTAATTAGTTTTTTTTAATTCCCTTTCTTTCACTTTCTTTGCTTGTTTCGTACCATTCGTTCAAACACAATCATCAGTTCCACTTACTTAAGTAAGGGCGTGGCATCAGCCCAAGATATCGGAAGTACTGGTATTTTGGGAAAAGGAAGAGACTCTTTCGGTACTCTGTAAATACCATCTATAGAAATAATAACATCGATAATGAACAATAAACCTACTATCAAAGCTTTTGTACCGTCCCGTTAATTTACACMCAGAGTCAGTAAAGWAGAACCTTCTCTTGGGAAATTGTAGGCCGACGTAACAGATGACGCGCACGAACGGCATCGCATATAGTTTATGCACAAGAACATATCATGTTGTCTGATAAATATACCGACCTGTGGCTGGGTATCCCGGTGTAAGTGGATCGCCTTTAACCATCCATAAGTTTCCTCGCTGGACACCGTGTTCAGGCAGTCCTTCATAGTCAGGATACGTCTTGTCAATCCCTTCAGGAGCATAATCCGCCGGGTCAGAGTAGATTATGACAGCTTTCGCCCCTCGCCTTTCAGCGTTCTGAGCCTGACGCAAAAACACAACCATTTTCAGCGGGGCAAATCGAAGAGATTTATGGAATGAAACTTAAAGCAGAATAAATGCATCATTAACATTTATTATGAGCGTAAAATAATTAGATGAAGAAATTGTAAGATAAATCCATAACTATTTCTATCACCCACCTTACCGCCGCGGAATAACTTTCCGTATCGCACAATAACTATCTTCCCACTAACGTTAACACCGAGCTTTTCTAACTCAACAAAGTCGTCTTCATGACCATAGTTGACATAAACAAGTTTTCCCTGTAGAAAAGTTAGAATGCTCTCATAACATTGAAAATTTAGGAATGTATCTCTACATCACCCTTCCCCCCTCCTTCTCGCCCCTCCCCTAGAACCGTAACGCAGAGACTCAGTGTATAACATATATTATTTCTAATGATTTTTAATCAAATTATGATTACCTTAACATTACCAGACGGCGAATAAGCATTAAATGGACTCACAACACGAGAATCGTTCTCAGAAGGCTCGAGTATCTTTTCTCGTGCGGCTGATTTATGTAAAATAGTTCCATTGATATCCAATAACGAGGCATACCCTGGTTTTTCGGGAAACGATAGTAATATACTGTATTGTTTTAACTCTACATTATCAAATCCATATTCCTTGAATTGGTCAGCAATGTACAGGGCTTGTTGATAGCTTTCATTCGACCCTGCGATGTGTGGGATGCTTGAAAAATATCTGGAATAGACATCAGTTACAATCCGTCGTGAACAAAAACACTGAATATTTCTAAATATACCGGAATACAAACAGGGAAGGAGGAAGAGGGGAAAACCCAACATGCATCCTGGTTCCAGTCAACAAAAAACGCTACCCAGAATGCTTTTCGTCGTAACTCCCTCTGATCTYTGGATAATAATGACAAAGACACCAACATATCACTCTTTAAAATGTACTATCTGACCGCAAGTTAAACCATTTGTCATATCTGTTCAACAGTACATCTTATTATGAAATTTAGTCTATATAAAGTGGTTCAATTAGTCTAGTTCTAGTCTGTACATTGAAGAAAGATCACCATCATTACAGGCCCCTAGAGAGATATGTCTTAAAATCAAGAGATCGATGTCTTCATATCATCGGTTAAGTTATTCAAATTGCGAAGCAGGTGAAGCCGAAAAAGGATGCGACCAAAAGATCGCCATACAAACTTGTGGTCATAGTTCTGATGTCGATAATGTAGATTTTGAAATGCAGTTATACGGAGAAAAACGCGTGTTTACTGATGAGTCTCCCTTTTTTTCCTTTCTTTTATTTTATTTTCTCAATAATCAATATAGCTCACTACCAGAACATTATGTAAATCTATGCAGATTCGGTAAAGATGGGTTTGATTCAATTTCCGGTATCAACACTACACCTGTCTCAAATRGCATGGTTTCTTGGAACCATTCAATCTTTTGAACACCAAAAAAATATAAAAGGTTACTAAACCATTGAATTCAGACGTTTTGAGACTCGATGCCCTCGCCTTTGAACCATGCTTGCKGTCAAACYGAGTGAAAGTTTGATTTGCTCATAACTTTACCTTAGTTGCTTCTCGAGATTCTCAGTTGAAACACCATCGAGTGCTGTGGAATATAATTCCTTTGTAGACGCTAGTCCTCTCTTTGCGGCCGCTTCTCGTTTGCACTGAGTGCCATAGACATGTCGTCGCACCAGATAACCGGCGAAGAAAGCAGCAATGATCAGTAGAACTGCTAATAACGCCAGCAACGCACAGCAGCTATTGCTACGTTCTCGACGCTTCGGCGGTCCGTCGACTTCAGTCTGATCCGCGTTATCTGCCTGATCTTCTGGAATGAACTCTGCTTTCTCTGTTRCCGCGGCTTCTTCTTCGTCAACCATGTTGAATTGTTGTAGTCGATGCTGTCAGCCTAACCTTTTTTTGGAGTAAAATGTTTAAAGTTCCACCCGAGAAATGACAGGCTATCAAACCTCCAGTGCTGATTGGTTCAATATTTAACAGTTTTGTAATGTAATTACTGAGCTTTTTTTAAAAAACACTGTTCAATGTAACTTGAACCGTGTTCTGTCAATGACCCTGTCGTTACTCCATGATGATGGCAGTCACGCATGTTATTTCAAAATATTGTTATTAAAAACTTACCTAAAATAGGACWATTCGCGCTCAATGCAAAAAAAACATGATATGATGACAGATATCAGCTGTTTGATTGACATTTAAATTAACCCGCGGTATTTGCTTATACACCTAGATCTTCCAATCCTTGTGCGCTTATATAATCTCAAATCTTACTGTAAGACYTGTGCATTTTTGCGCCATGTAAAACACTCTGTAGGATATTATTTTCTAAAATTCTAATTGGTTAAAGAAATTGGAGCGCGAAATAACGCGAAGCACACAGAAAAACAAAACAGGTGACAAYGAGAAACAAACTTCGAGGGAAAGATAAAAACGCAAATGACAATAATAGTCGCCTGTGAAAATAAACTGACAATTTAGTTCGTTAGTTGAAAAAGAACAAACGAACTGAGCGAGTGTAAACCGAGCCCACAGAAAATGTCTTTGTAAGCATTCCGCTGAAGTATGAATCTGCAGGCTCAGAGTTCTAAGATTGAAAATGTCTGGCCTGTTGAAATTTTTAGCAAAAACTATCCCATTATTTGCAGTGTCGGTTTATTTTCTACGGCAATATCAAGATGCTGACTTAACAGTCCATTTTTACGAGAAGTTTGGTTTGCAACCATGTGTTGCACTGAAAGATAAAGTAGTTTGGATCACCGGTGCTTCTAGCGGTATCGGAGAATACTTAGCTTACGAACTTTGTAAATGTGGTTGTAAGATAGTCCTTTCTGCTAGACGTGAAAGTGAACTACAGAGAGTAAAGGAAAAATGTGCAGGTATTGTTGCAATCAATAACTTTT